TCGTCAAATTTGTTGACCAAGCTCAAGATGAAGACATGTTGCATTTAGTTTTGATAATTACAAATATAATCCTTTTGAATGATAAACATGCAAATTATATCTTATGTTTATGTTTTGTTACTTGTGTGCTTTGTTCTTTGTAGGTAACTTAGTTTTAAATATATATCTAGGTGATGTTTGATGATGAAAAAAAATTAAAATGATTTCAAAAAAGAACTAATATGAAAAATTGAGATATTAAGTTTTCACTTAAAATAATCAATTATCCTAAGTAATAATCGATTATTTGCTCTATTTCTCAGTAACTTATAAAACTTTATTGTAATAATAGATTATTTAGCAAAATAATTGATTATTTCATAAACAACTTTCTAGAATAACTGATTATTACTTTAAAGAATTGATTAAACTATTATTCGTTGATTTTCAGATCTGCGAAGAACAAAATAATTTATTATCCATGGAAACAATCCTTTATTTCTGTTAGAAAACTCTATATATCATTTTTCACATTTAGAACTCAAAGAACTAAAATCTTTGTGATATTACTTTTGAAAATACTCTCTGAAAAACATTTCTCTTTGCAAGAAGAGGTTTGATACCCTTGGTGGGAATCTCAAGAAAGAATTCAAGAGTTGAATTGATCATCATGTTCATGACGATATAGGCTAAGCTACATTAGTTTGATTCACTTACTCTTAAATGTTTTGTACATTAGGTGGATTCATTATTTAATCTCTGTAACTAGTTTTTTTTATGTAGGTTTCTTAGGAAAAGGAAATATTGTAGTGGAGGTGCTACAAGTTAGTGTTTCCTAGAGTGCAAGAAGTAGTTTCTTTAATTGTGCAGAAGTGTATTGCATGTGATATTGTGATTGTAAAACTTCTGACATTAAAGATTAGTGGAAAGTCTCAATCAAATTGATTGGGGACTAGATGTAGGTCATAAGTGAATGTTGTTGAACTCATATAAATTTGTTGTGCATTATTCTCTATCCCCACACTTGTCTTTACATTCTTGCAAATATGATTATATGTTTAATGTTGTATGACATGAACCATGAACATTGCTTATAAAACTATTAGAATCTAATATTGAATGTATAAGATATCTCAACAACATATCTTATATGCATACATACGTACATACATACATACATACATGCATGCATATATATACATATATATATATATATATATATATATATATCAATATACTTCATTGGAAAGTCTTAAAAAAGTTATTAAACCAATAAGATTCATAAATAAATTTTTTAACATCCAATTCACCCCCTTACTCTTGGATAAGCCATCTTTTATAACAAATTGAATTCCTAGAACTCAAGATATTATACACATAAACTTCATAATTTTTCCTTCTAAGCTATTTTGAGTTCTTGCTTCTAAAGCTTCATTATGATATTTGTGTCATATTAATAATGATTCGTCTTTTAAGAATCATTCTAAATCGATCTTGAGTTTGCTTTAATTGATGTTCTGAATACACTAAGCAAACTCATCATTGTGTTTATTTTTATGTTGGAACTTAAAGTTAATTTTATCATGCTTTTATTTTCTTGAGGTTTTATAAAGGCTCGTTTGTGTCTATGTTATGAACTTAAAGTTTTATTCAATAAGATTAAGACATGTAAACCCTTTTAAAGTTTTTGTAAAGAAATTTGTTTTCTTTAATCTTTTAAAAAAAATGCATTTTCATGTTAAATGTCTTAAGGGTTAAAGGGTGTCACACTCAAGTTACAAAGTTAAATAAATATAAACAACTTTTTTTTTAACTCTATAAGATTATAAACTAACATATTATATATCGTATAAGTGTTAATCAATGGTTCTTCTAGATGTTTAAGTTTTACAAGTTGGTGCATTCCCTACAATTGTGGGTTAAACAATAGTACAAATAGCAATTGTAGGAATCCCATTAAATGTCATATCAATGTTACTAAGTTTCACGTCTTCACATGGTACACCATTACTACAAATAAGTGTAACACTATTTTGAGTTCCTGAAGTCCCCTTGATATCCTTGAAGGTGACATTGCTTATCTTTATTTTTGAAGGAGTCTATAGCCATTGAAAACATATTGGAAAAAAAAAATATATGTTAGCACATCAAACATTTATTAGTTGGTATTTCAAAACTACCAAAAAAAAAGTTTGTATTAATTTAAAAGTTAATCAATAGAAAGAACGTTTTTATTTATGTAAATACCTGCTTATTGCATTGATTCCATGGACAATACTCTTGATCTATAATCACTGGATTTGTAACATTAACCATTATAATATCCTCAAAATGAAAATCTGACACAAGAGAAGTTATTGGAGTACCAGGCTAGGTTTTTATCCTTAAACCATTATTTGTGTTGTTTAATGTACAATTTTGAACGGTTAAACTTTCTACAGGTTCCTCGTTTGGATATTTTCCAAGACTTCCAACACTAATGTCATGTCCTAGCCCACAAGTTACATTTAATATAGTTATGTGTTTGCTACCATCTCCCAGTGAAATGCAATCATCACAGGTACTAATGAAGGAGTTGGTTATGTTAATTTCACTTGATCTTCCAATGTGAATTCCATCCGTGTTAGGACTTGTTGATGGAGCAGTTATAGAGAAGTTTATAAAAGTGACATTTTTGCATCCCAAAACATTGACATGAAAACTTTTTCTATCCTTTGAAGTTATTCCTTGGATAATTGAATTGTTAAGGAAGTTGAAACCAAAATTCTATGGAAAAATATAAAAGAAACTTGATTTGTCAATACATGACAAGAAACACTATTAATAGTAAAAAAAAAAATTAAATAAATTAACATATATTTCATTTACCATGGGAAGCATTTTACAATTCTTGTTTTTTGCACAATCATTTTGTTTCCAAGAAACTTCACCAATGCCATCAAAGGTCCATGTAAAGTTCCTATTGAGGTTCAAGTTGATGGGACAATTGAAGCACCTACAAGCCCTATACCACTCTTATCGATAATGCTCAGTGGATAAGTTTTGGGTATACAAACTTCTTCACATTGATATGAAAACTTTTGGTATATTTTGACGTTATTCCTTGATAATTGGATTTTTAAGGAATTTGAAATCAAAATTTTGAGAAAAAATATACAAGTAACTAGATTTTCCAATACATGATGAGAAATATTATTAATAATAAAAGAAATAGATAAATTAACATATATGTTATTTAGCAGGGAAAGCATTTCGCAGTTCTTGTTTTTTGCACAATCATTTTGTTTCCAAGCAACTTCACCCATGCCATCAAAAGTTCCTAAACCTAATAAGGTGAAGAAGTTTGTATACCCAAAATTTATCCACTGAACATTGTCATTAAGAGTAGTGGGGTTCGCAAGTGCTTAAATTGTCCCATCAACTTGAACCTCGATAGGAGATTTACATGGACCTTTAAGATTCACTTGTTTCAACTTGTATGTACCATTAGGAATCAAAAAATTTCTTGGACTAGTGGATGCACAAATTTTTTTCCAAGCAAATTAATGGCAAAGCCTAAAAATATATCAAACTCAAAATTCAAATGAGAGAATTATAAACAAAATGTGTAAGGATATTGTTAGATAGTTACATTTCAACTTACATAAAGAATTAATTGTGCTCGAATTAATTGTATTTCAACTTATATACAAAGAATTAATTGTCGATGTTTTGTAACTATAATATAATATTACCTAAGTTATATCTTCGCCAAATATTATACCATACTTTCTTACTTCAAGAATCTTAAATTAAGCTCTAGTAGAGGAAACTAGCAATAAAAATAGAGTAAAAGTAGTAAAACTAAATGTCGTATACATCTTGAAATTTTCACTCAGGTATTTTCTTTAAATGGTAATATATTTCCTTTTTTAAAATGTTCTTTAAAACATTATATGAAACAACTCGACATTGAATAATTATCTATAATGATTTCACCAAAGTTTGAGGCCACTAAAATAATAAATAAACTTTTTAATAAATACAAATTAAACTTTGCAACAAAAATTATTGCTCTTTAGTAAATACAAACCAATCCTAAGAATGAAAATAAAACTTAAATGACAATGAATATTGGCTAACCCTTGTCCCTAAATAAATAAGTATATTTAACCCTTATAACAAATATAGTTGTCTTAAAAGAAATCTCTGCATGTAACTAGTATTAATTTTCTATATTATTTTTTGTTTTTCATTCTTCAAGCTTATTAGGTATATAGGATACAAATCTTATATATATTTATGTTTATGAATGATAGAATTCATCGAGAAAAAAATATATTTTTACACTTACATTATGTAATAAATTTAATATAATATAAATTTAACCAAGCTAATTATTTTAAATGCGGACCCAATTAAATTATCATATCCTAATAAAAGAAACATAATTTTATAAACTTTCTTAAAAAAAAAAATATATTCAATTTTATTATTGAGGGTGAAATTATTAGTTAATTATCACTAATCATTTTGAACAAAATTATATTACTCTAACCACAATAAACATAATAAATTTATTGAAGAATTTTAATTCCTTTCCTTATCAAAATATATTTATTAGTCTAATAAGTTAAACCAACTATTGAATATACGATGTAAAGATTGTTAATATATTTAAAAGCACCAACTACTAAATATATGATGTTATGATTGTTAATATATTTAAAAACATTTTTTAATCAATGTTAAGTTTTATTGACCAGACATTTTCCCAAGTGTGACAAAAATATTTTACACAAGGTTACATAGTTGACCTAGTTGACAAGTCCCACCGTTAAGTCTAAATCCTCTTGCACAATGTTTTACTGACTCATGATATTCAAAGATATGACTTTAATATAATATTTATATATTTAAATAATTTTAAATAGTGAGACCATTAACCGTTAATTTGTCATAACAAACCCAGATACCAACTTTAACCCTTAAAATGAAAATCCAATTTTAATCAGAAAATAGTACATAAAAACACATGGTACTGCACATATGTTTTTGTGAAATGCATAAATATGAATTGAAGAAATACATTCCCTGTTTAATTAGACAGGGCAGAGTCTGGCATTCAACGACGAGCAAGAAACCTACATTTTAGCAATTATAACTAACATTTGAAAATTGATTTTAACTGTTGTCAACAAGAGAAACTGTTGCACAATATTCTTTGCTACAATAGCATGATGCTTCCTACTGCAGAGTAAAAATCTGAGCAGGCCAACTGCGTTTGTGACCATCATGACCAACACCAGCAGCTTCTAAGGAAATGTCAATGCTGCGATGCTCAGTAGAGCGGACAATGCTGACACGTAAATCAATCTTCACAGCAGGATACACGTCAGTGCCGATTGCTTCCAGTTTACCCCCATTTTCTTTTCCAGGTCCCATTGCAATAGGTTCTCGAAAGGTTAAGATTGTTTGTGACCAGTGTGTTTTTGGTGTGTAAGGGGATGTGGATAACACAGCCGGTGTTTCACGGCAGAATCTGCTTGTAAATCCAGTTTCAAACCATAGGACAACGCCATAGCACCAGCAGCATGTTTTGGAATTTAACTGTGTCACTTTGTTCCGTGAAGCACTCGGTTTCAGTTCCAAAGTAGCAGTTGCAGTGAAATCCACTTCATTGGGCTTCATGGTTGCCAAATCAAAGGTCTGGAGACAAGCACATCAATAGTCAGTGTGCAACTATAAACTGGGCTGTGAATTTATTTTAAAAAATATCCTGGAGAATTACCCCATCCTTCCCATAAAACAGATATTGCTTGGCATAGCACATTTATACTAGTTAAGACCACACAAGTAAAGAATCACATAAAAATGAGTAATATTTCTAGGGTCTGTATAGATAAACTACCCTAGAAACACATAAAGAAGAAAAAATAGGAAAATAAAATAAACTTTTTCATTAGTTAAAACTAGCTTATGCATAAGTTAAAATAAAGATTTTGGAAAAGCTAATAAGAGAGCTTTTATAAATTAGTTTGTGCATAAACTAATTTTAATTTACAAAGACTTTTTTTTTCTTTCTATTTTTCTCTCCTAAAAATGCTTCAAGAAAAGTTTATCTAAATAGGACCCTATAAATGCATGATACTTTTTATTTTCATTTGATTATATGCATTTACATTTACTCATAAAAAAAATGGCTTTTTATTTTAGAAGGAATGGAAGGGGCAATATGCTACTATTTCATGTTCAATAAAATAATTTTCAAAAATCGATATCTATTGTTCAATAAAATAATTTTCACCATTTAACGAAAACAAATCATTATATACAAGTAATATTGGATTTTGATACAATTACATACAGTTCATAAAGGAACACTTCAGCTACCTCATAATTGCAAGATAACCAGTTAGAAACTATAACCAAAGATTAGAACTGACAATATCCTTCCTTACAGTAATTGCAAAATCATTGAAGACTTGATTACCAAAATGAAAAAATGAAGTCACTACTATAATAATGTCTTGCAAAATATTCACATGCGCCAAAAATACCAACCTGAAGAATTGAAGAACTGGTAACTAAGTCTTGAGAGTCCACAACATCAACTATAGGAATTTGAGCAGCATCTATGACAAGCTCCTTCCCAATGCAAGACATGTCAAAATCACACACATTTTCCCAAAATGGAAGACTTGTGGCTCCTTTTCCGAATCCTGCAACAAACTAGAAGAGGAACTAGAATAGTTATATATACTACATAAACTTACAGTGCAGAGGATAATATTCTGAAAACATAATAGCTGAGCAGTGGACAGAGGAGAGACTCACAATAGTTGCTGTGTCAGGAAGAATGGCACCACCAGGCTTCAACCACCGGTCCCGTGCATAAAGCACTGAACCAAGCATGGATTCATACAGCAAGCAATATCCCATCCATTCACTTAACAATACATCAACACTGTGAGGTTGAAGTTCAACTGTTTTATCAATCTCCTCAACCATACCATGAACCACTTCTATGACGCCATTTTGGAAGCCATCAACTCCACTGTGGCTTTTACTCAGCCAAAGACCATTATCTTTTGCAACCTAAATTAAAAAAAAATGGAGCAAAAAAAATGAACATCGAACTAGACATGTAGTTGAAACGATAATTATAGAAGCTACCAAGTGAGAAACTTATACCTGAGATGCCACTGCTGCCATCTTGGCACTAGCCTCAACTGCAATAACCCTAGTAGCCCCAGCTTTTGCTGAAAATAGGCTAAAGAAAAAATAATAACAAAATATGTCATAAACTTGCAAATGACAGAACAATTAGATATGGTAAATGATACGTAAGCAGAGACCAAAAATAACAGGAATATGCAATTAATAACAGCAATAGCCATCATAACCAGTAAAATAATCAGAAAGAGCCCACAAGTTAATGGCTTAAATATGGAATATGCACTTATTAACAGCCATAGAAAGGCATATGGAACATGATTAATGGCTTCTATAACTTGACTACCATGCATTAAGTTAAGATTTCAATCTTCATTGATAAAAAGAATAAAACAAATATAATGCTTAAACATAACTAAGTTTTACATTTGATTACTTCACTGAGAAAAACTTATGCATATGCAGGGTGCTCATTAGTCATTATCCTATATACATGGTCACTAAGCATGCATCAATAAATTTTACCCATAAAGAAAAAGGGTGACCCAGCATGAGACTCACACCAGGCACAATATAGGGAGAGGATACAAGTTCACAGTCCTAACCTCGCAAGTGGAGAGGTTATTTCTAGGATTTGAACCCATAACATCAGGACCACCCAGCAGCAACCTTACCACTTCGCCAACGCTTGCCCTCAAAGGTGAAACGATGAAAAAAGGGAAGGTTTGTTTTTCATTTCATAGGCAAGAGGTAAGCTTAGGAGGCTAAGCCACTTCCAGGAAACTTTTACAAGGAGACAAGACAATTCTTTGCCACTACCCACTATTAAAAATTCACAGGCCTAACTCACTACCAAAAGTTAGCTCAAGGGAGGAGGGTTGCCTAAGTCTTATAAGAAGTATTATATCCGTATTCCTAGCCAATGTGAGACGTTTAACACTTTTCAAATTAAGTAATTTATCAAAGTCCATAAGATCACAGTATAGCCCAAAAAGGGGTAGCAAGCATATGATGAATTAAGCAAAGAGACCCACATCTAAGCTCAAACCAATGCAAAAAAGCCATAGCAACATAAAGAATCAGATTCATCATGCCCCAACTGTGTAAAAATCATACATACACAATCTATGGTTGATGGGACAGTAGACTAGCACTCCCAAGTTATATACACAACATTGATAATCTGAAGGAATTTACTTTTCCTGAAGTTTCACAAAAAAGGCATCATCTTTCCCATCATTAATTATCATAAGATATCTCATTCTATGAATATAAAATTTTATAAAAGATATAAAATCCAGGATTTTGCAAGAGTATATACTGCATGACATTATACATTGACAAAAGTCAAGAATATTTCCCACCTGAGGATTCCAGTTCCACAACCTACATCCATAACCACCGCACCATTTAGTAGAGAGGGATTCTTCAAAATTGCTTGGCCATAAGCATCCATTCTTTCCTACATAAAGATAGATATTACTTTAATAAGATGGTGATGGCACAGTTAAACAGCTTCAGTTTGTCAATTTATTGTAGTTACACAACAATTTACTTAAATTTGAATTCAACAAATGAGAAGCATGTCTTATACCTTATCACTTAACATCTCTCGATGGATGCCAAATGAACTGTAAGACCCAAAATAACTTTCATTAACCTTCTTAATATGCTTTACAATGTGATTTTGAGAATTACCCATCAAATGCCCTCCTTCTGGATCCTTATCACTACACAAAACATGTCTTGAGCCATCACCATTAGTAAGTTCCTTGTTTGAAGAACTAGCCCTGTTCAAATGATCATTAGAAATGGAAGCAATATTGTTTCTTCTACAAGCATCATGTTTGTCATCAACTACCACTGTCTTCATAGCATCTTGATCGTCACGGATACTCTCTTCAATGTTCATCAAATCCTTTATAAGATCTTCATCAATACTAGAAATTTGTTCATCTTCACCTTCCTCATCACATTCGCCAAAACTGTACAACAGTGAATCGTCTTGCATGAAAGGTAGTAGATACTTATCATCATTCCACAGAGTCTTTATCTCGTTAAAATCAACTACATCATGCAAATGATTCTGCAAGTCACGCTTGCACTGAAATGTTAACCCACAACTCCAGCATCTGTTTTCTGCCACCTAGAAAAAAAATACAGAAGAAAAACACCAGTTAGCAAGATATGTAAGAAAATCTACATAATTGAAATTTAACATATATAGTCCAGAGTTACACATCGTTAAGTAGCATGGAAAGATAATTTACCAGAACAGAGGAAACAAAGATAAGCAAAATTATAAAGATAGAACCAACAAAGTGAGAATGCATCATGTTTACATTTAGTGGTGACAATGCCGATTAGGACCTGTTTGGATAAGTTTCTCCAAAAACACTTATAAGTTAAAAATAAATAAATAAAAATAAAAATAGGAAGGAAAATTGAAATGTTTCTCTATAAGCTAAAACTAGCTTATGCATGAGTTAAAAATAAGATTTTGAAGAAGCTAATAGGAGAAAGCTTATACAAATTAGCTTATGCATAACCTAATTTCAGCTTATAGAGAAGCTTATTTCGTTTTTCCTTCTTATTTCTCTATCCTAGAAGTGCTTCTGGAGAATATTGTCCAAACAAGTCCTAGGAAAAACAGCATCTTGTTAGTCACCTCTTCTATTTTTTCCATAAACAAAAGCAACAGGTAAATAAAGGGAAATCTGCATGAACAATCCCTGAATTGACATCGAAAGGAACAAGCGACAACCACCTAAATCATGATAAATTGCCATTTTAAAATCTAAAATCCAAAACATACAATTTCCCTTAATCACATTTCCTCAGCCCCAGAAATCCCAACCTCAAGAAACATTCACAAAACTGAATTTGGACTCTCTTAGGCTAGTAAAATGATGTCAGCATGAGAAAAAAATTGCTTTGCAAACTTGTTAGCTCAGAAAAAGCATAAAAGAAATCGGTAACCTTACCTGAGAGCGGATGAAGTTGATGAGCTTGAAGGAGGCATAGAAATCCAAGTTAAGTGTGGCTCTAATTGTGTGGAAATCGAAGTGGTGAAGGGAGGCGCAATGGTCGAACAAGGAATCGCACGAACTGTAGTGGGAATCACAGAAGAGACAAGCGAATTCCGATTCACGCTCTCCCTCCTCACCTTCCCAATCGTCCCATACGTGTTCTCCTTCTTCTTCTTCTTCTTCTTCTTCATCTTCGTCTTCTTCCATTCTATAAGGTGCTTCTTCTTCTTCCTTTTGCTTGACACCGAAAGCCATTAGTGTAAAAACGCTTAAACCCTCTCAAAAACCCTAAAGTGGTGAAACTTTCGTTTAACACTTGTATATATATATATTTTGTAGCGCGTTCAAGTAAAGTCATGTATGTCTCTGCGCAGCTTAAAATGCTTTCTAAGCTCAAACTAGCAATTTCTCAATTTTCCTATCATTAATTTTTTTTTTTTTACATTATTTTAGTTATAGATTGAATGTTTATTAACTCAAATTTATAATAAATTATATTTAATATTTATATATATAGATATTTTAAATATAAAATTATAATTTTATTTATGGTTAATATATTTTATATTTATTTATTGATAATTTATTTTAAATATTAAAATATAATTCATAAAAAAATTTATGATAAATATGAATTGATTTAGATAAAAAAAATTAAAATATATTATGTGATGTGACACCCTCTACCCCAACATATATATATAATAATAATAATAATAAAATCTTATTGGATAAAAAAAATATTTAAAAAATGAAACGACAATTCCAATAATTATGTGAGTAGAGAATTCACATTCATGTCCTTAATCCAAATAGCAAATAAAATTACAAAGAATAAAAATTTAATTTTTCAAAATATATATTTTAATAAATCTTAAACAATGTCATATTCTAATTCTATCTATGTCCCAATGTCACATGTCCTATCAGAGCAAAATTCCACATAGAAGCCTAAGCTCCATCGTCCACATCCTTAGCCTCATGCTACTAATGGTCTCCTGTATATCAAACAAGAAAAACAACACAAAAGAAGGGAGTGAGAAACATCTCACTCTGGCTCACGGTGTAGGAACGCATACCGGATAGCCAAACACAAACAATACAGTTACCTCATAGGTCAATCAACAACAATAGCTTATCCAATCATCCAAGTCATACAAATAGTAATTTATCATCATTTAATAATAAGAATGCACATGCATGGACACGGACTTCACATTATCATGCATGTGGCGCCAGTAAAACATCACATGGCATATTGTCGCTAGCAATACACGAAGAGTAGTCTAGGAGTACATGCCGGGTCACACCCTCTGCGCACTCTCACTAGAAGGATATACTACCAGAGTCTCGTCGGGATAGCTAAGCCGCGCAAGATACATCCCATGCACACAATGGGCGAGACTG